CACTGGCCCTAATCCTCTTCCGTACAAATATGATCCCAGTTAGTTCATTAATAAATGAGCTAACTGGGATGAAACCAGCTGCTTCCTGGGATCACTGGAGAAATGTGAACAAATATCCATCATTTTTAAGCCAACAGCAGCAGCGGATTAGATAATCCTTCCTTTTACACACAGGAAGTCAGACCAGTGATTGAAGGAGCCTCATAAAGTGATAAACCTTGTTTCCATGTTTAAACTATTTGCATCAGTTTGCTTTGAAACTCTACTTGCTTATTATGGAAAAATGAATTTTAAGGTTTTTAAAGCAGATCACACTGCAAAAACGATCTAAAAATAAGTAAAAATTTCTTGAATTAAGTGTTTCACCCTTAATTTGAGCAGGTTAATGAGATAGTTTGCCAATGGAATGTGTAATCTTACTCTTAAAATAAGATAATTAGATAATATGCACTTGAAATAAGACGATGCAATTGTGTTTTCATATTTTAAGTGTTAATTTTCTTGTTCCATTGGCAAAACGTCTCTTTTACCTCCTCAATTCAAGAACGAATGCACTTATTTTAAGAAAAAAATGACTTATCTAGATTTAGATTTTTTGCAGTGCAGTGGTCTGTTTCTGATCTATGGCTGACATTCCTGCACGCTGCTGAATGTATAAACCAGAGGATGCAGCGTCAGCAGGGGGGGGCAGGTGTCCCTCTTTATGTTTGAGAAAAAAAACAACCTTTCCAGTCTTCATTCCTGCACTGATTAGGAGAGTTTCCTCATGTTCAGCCGACCCTGCATCTCGTTAGTCGGCACCACAGGCCATAAGCTCCACGTCTGCAGGCTAACCTGTCCTCTCCTCGCTGCTGCCTCGTACCCGTTTACCTGATTTTGTGCAGATAAGTTTTTTGTAATTCCGTTCTAAAATGTAACTTAAAGCTATAAATGGAAGCTATAAGTTGGACAGAGTTCCTATAAGATCTGAAACAATTAGTTGGATTAATCCATTATTGAAATAATAGTAAACTAATTCTGTAATTGATTAATCGTTAACTGGAGAATAGAGGCTCTAAAACCTTTAGCTGACAGGCGACTCACTGAGAGCAGCAAAAGTATCGTAAATACCATCTAGTTTAGGGGTAAACATTTAAACATCAGCGGGTCCGAATAAAGAAAATCAACCAGGAAAGGTCCGAAGACATTTTTATTTATTATCTGTTACTTTAAAAAGAATTTAACACTGAAATAAAATTAGGTTTTTATTAATCTGTGATATATATTGAATTTTTAAATAAAAAATAGAAAATTTTTTCCATTTTAAAAGTGTTTTTTTAAGTAGAGAACAAAAATTGTTCAGTTCAGTATAAAGACAATTAGCTGCGACATGAATTAAGATGCTATTCAATTCTATTCAGTTTATTTCTATAGCTCTAATTCACATCATGTCATCTCAGGTCACTTTCC